GAGTGGGGGGCTGGGGGAAGCCGGGCAGGGCCCGGGCCCAGGTTGGCCAGAGGCTAGAAGAGAACAAGGTGGCCAAGAAGCTAGTGGGCGCTCCACGCCAAAGGCGGCGCGGAGATCTCCCCGGGTGGTCGCGGGGAATACAGTCGATGGGGATGGGGGGAGAGGGGGCTCCGCGCGGGGAGGGGCGGGGGGCTGTGCGCTCACACAGCAAATCCGGGAGCCCCCTGAGCGCCCGGCCCCGCGGCCTCAGCGGCCAGGGTGGGACAGGCGCGACTCCAGCGCCCCCTCCCCGGGCCCAGCCGCGGTGACCCGCCCTCCCTCCGGGTGCCCAGCCCTTCCTACCCCCTCCCGGCGCCGCCCGCCCCCGGAGCCCTCACCTGGAAACGCTTCTTCACCCACAGCTTCTTCATGGCGGGGGAGGGGGCCGGGCGGGCGGCCGGGCGAGGAGGGGACGGGCGGGGGCGAGGCGGAGTCGGAGTCGGAGGCGGGGCCGGGGGCGGCCGGGGAGCGGACTGGAGCCAGCGCCGGTGGCGGAAGCAGCCTCGGGGGCGCGGGAGCCCAGGCGCGGGGAAGGCGGCGGCCGCGCCCAGAGCCCGCCCCTCCCCCGCCAGCCCGCACCCCACCTGGCGCCCCTTCCCTGGCCTGCACCCCTGCGTCTCCTGGGACGGCTATCACCTGCGCTCCCGCACCCCCATCCCGCATCTGCCTCCCGGGCCCTGGACACATGGGGAAACTGAGGCACAGAAAGGGGTGCAGTGGCCCCCACAAGAGATCGGGCCACGCTCTCATTGGCAGCCCTACGCAACCTCCACGCCACCTCCTTCCGCTTCCCGCGGGACGGCTCCGGAAGGTCCGGAAGGTCAGCGCATCTCGACTTGCTCACTCTACAAACATGCGCACACGGACCTGTGCCAGGCGGTACCCAACTCGCTGGTGGCCGAGTATGCTGCAGGCCACAGCGCTGGTGAGGGCGCCTAGGTCGTACACAGGACAAGGCTCCTCGTGGCTGGGGGCTCCGTGCTGACATGGCCCCAGCTGTAAACACCCCCAGGCATCTCAGGAAAGCCCAGAGAGGGCTCTTGAGTTTCTTGATGGTAGGTACTCTATCCCTGCACACACACACACACACACACACACACACACACACACGCAAGCTAAGGTGCCAAGAAGCTCTCCTAATTATTCACAAATAGGACCCATCTTCTCACTCACAGGTGAGTGTACTCACCAAACTTTCTTAGTTCTCCCATAGCATTATGCACACTTTGCCTACACAAAACTCTACTTTCCACCCAATTACTGTAACTTTCTTAACCATCTACCAAGTGCCAGGCACTTTATAAATGCTACCTCATTCACGACAACCCTATGAGCTTGAAATCTTTATGAGTGTTAACTGGCTTCATTTAACCTACAAGGCTAAGACTCAGAAAAGTCCTGTCACTTAGCCAAAGCCACACAGGTTGTGTGTCTCCACGTGTCCCCCAGATCCAAATTTCCATCCCAGCATACACAAGTAGTGCCAGTCCTGGTTTCCGAGATGTGACTACAGAGTCATTATCATCAGCACTTATTGTATGCTTAGTATGCACCTTAGCGTGTTAAGCACTTTCTATGAATAAATTCACTAAATCCTCACAACAAGGGGAAGACTGAGGCACAGAGAGGTTACTTGTCCAAGGTCACACAGCCAATAATTGGTAGAATCGGGATTCTAATCCAGACACTGTGATGGAATTAGTGACCACTATGCCATAAAGACTCACACACTGATAGGTTCCCTAACTTTATTTCTTGAAAGCATGGGTCCAAAATAAATACAGAGCCAAAGGATGAGTTTTGTTCAGCCTGCACAGTACATATTTTAGGGGGGGCAAGCATGCTCAAGTTCAGCTGCTGACAACAGGACCTTGCTCATGATCAGTTTCCACTTGGCCCCTGAAGTTACTTGTGGCCCCTTTGCTTTACAGTCATGTCTGGTACATTCTGGGTACATGCAAGTGGTCCAGTTCCCCAGATACCCGGAGGCAAATGTTCTACATGCAGACACACGCACAGGGACCTGTGCTGAGAGGGTACACATGTGTGTCTATATCATTTCCAGCCAGAGGACCCTGACCACCCACAGGCCCTTTCCCTGCCACCCCCAAACACACCCACTCACAGATGGGGGAGCTGAGTGAGGAGAGGGAGTAACCTGAGCCCCTGTTCTCCAGGAGAATCCGAGGGGCTGGCACATTCCATAGCAAAAATAACCAATGGGCAACGGGCGTGAGTGACGGGACAGCTGGGCTGAGCAGAGGCCTGTGGGATTCTGTGTTCCTGCTCTGGGCCTGCTCTGCTCACCCCCACAAGGTTGACCTGGGGCATGCTTGCAGGGTAGATCCAATATTACCCCATTTTTCCTCCATGGCTGTACTGCTGTGCCCCCTCTCATTTCCCAAACCCAGACTTCTAATTTCTGCACTGCCCGCATTTCCCCTACCAGAGAAAACCCCTGTCATCATGCCCTGCCTCACTCCCCTCCTCTTTGCCCCCTCTCTTTCATGCCTAGATTCAGTTTCTCCTTTCCCTTCTTTCACTTACCCTGAGCTTGAAACCTTATGAGCTCTGTATTTCTAGCATACTGTATAATTTTTGCTTATTTGTTATGTTTATTGAATGCTGTGTCATCTCTAGGACAG